AAACCATCTTTCTCAGTCTTCCCCCAAACCCCAAGGTCAGTCCTGTTTTACAACAGTGGTACCATGCAGTATTTGTCCTTTTGTGACTGAGATACTTCACTCAACATAATGTCCTCCAGGGTCACCCATTTTGAATAATATTGTATGAGTTTCTTGTTTTTCAATGCAGCGTAGTATTCCATTGTGTGAATATGCCACAGCTTCTCTATCCATTCGTTTGTTGATGGGCACGTAGGTTGTTTCCAACTCTTTGCTATAGTGAACAAAGCCGTGATAAACATGGTGTGCATATATCTGCTTGGGTGGTGGTGATGGTTTCTTTCGAGTATATTCTCAGTACTGGAATTGCTGGGTCAAATGGTATTTCTATTTGCAACTTTTTGAGAAAGTTCCATACTGCCTTCCACAGTGGTTGCATCATTTTACACTCCACCAACAGTGAATAAGGGTTCCAGTTATTCCACAACCTCGCCAGCATTTGTTGTTTGCCGTAGAAAGAAAAAAAGTTTTTAAGGTAAGAATCCTTCCCCTTGACGTATAGACCATTTCACGAGGCCCTGTAATTGGTGCCTTCTGCAGCATCACGGACTTTTCCTCCCGACTGTCCCTGACTGTCTTATAGTAAAGAAAACTTTGTCAGAGCTTCCCTCTTTAGTTTAAACCTCCAGGCTCAATCTCTACCAGAATCTTGTGTGTCAATAAAGACCTACCCGGCCAGATGTCTGTCACTTTATATCAAATAAGACTTTTGTAAACTATCAACTCAGTTGAATGGTTTGTAGCAATTCGTCAAAGACAAAGTCTTACCTGGCCTTATAGTTTCACACACACTGCTGGGTTTGTGAATCAGTTACTCTGTAAGCTCTGTTGCTGTCCATTTTTCTTTACACAGCATGGTGAGTAAAAAGTACCTTTCTTTCCTGTTACTATTGTGGTATTTGTGATATGCCCCCCTAATGCTTGACCAGTTACAACATCCCAGGATTCCATGTAGAAGTGCAGCAAGCTGGTATAAATGAAAAGTGTTCTTCTCTGGAATTTGTGATCGTAGTGTTCTTAGTCACGTTTGTAAAATGTGGACTCTGCTGTGATTTCTTCTCCCGCTCTGACTAAATATGCCTCTTTGCAGCTGCCAGGAGAATGAGCAAACCCCTCATTTGAAAGAAGTGCAGCCAAAATGCTTTTCAGAAGCAAGAACAGCATCTCCGTGGTGTACTCCTTGGAGAGGGACGTCGTGCTTGGAGAGCTGGAGGGTCCGCGAAGGAGAGGAGGACCCTCAACTGGGTGCATTGACACAGTGACTGACTGTGGCAATGGGCTTGAGCGGCCAGAGAGCGTGAAGATGACGCCGGTGAGCACAGAACTCAGATCTGTCCTTCACAGGGTCCCTAGGAATCGTACTCACCTTGACGGCACCTAACAACAGCGGCAGCATTTGTGCTGTTTTCATATTAACAATTTGGCTTCTCTGCACCATAAACTGTGGGCTCTCCTAACCCTGGGCAAATTCCTGCACTGTGTGCGTGTGATGTCCACTCTGAGGATAAAGCCCCTCCAGGCCAATTCAGAGGAGCAGCTCCTGGCAACAGTGTGCCGGATCCATCAGAGACCCTTTGACAAGCGTGAACCCCACGCCCCAGGGCAGCCCAGCTGGCTCACGGTTTCCAGGTGGAAGGAAGCAGCACTCTTGCCTCAGAGAATGTGGGGCCCAGGAGGGTTCCCCGTGGCCTTGTGAGGAGGCAGGGGCTTCCACGGGATTAGAACACACACATAAAGGACAGGACGCTGTGCAGATGGCTCGTCCAGTGCCACTTTCTCAGTCACCCGGGGCTGTGGGTAGCTGCTGCCCAGTGACCCTGACGCTGGGTGACTCATGTTAACAAGTATAACCGCTCCAGAGGACTTTGTTGCTGTGATAATGTCTATTTTCATCTCCTCAAGTGTTAAAAAATGGGTTCTGTTGTTGCGGTTCGGAACATGCACAGCCAAACAGTTCAGAAGTTTCTGCTGGGACTATTCAGGGACAAAGGTTCTGTTCTTTCCATCTGCAACAATTGTCACCGCCCTTTTTGGAGTTGTTTCTACCCCTATCTCCCCTCCCCTCCCCCATCAACATAAACTTCCTGGCCACTGAGAGTCTTATCTATTCTTTTTTGAGTTGCTGTTGTCAGTTTGATCCCATTAAGGGCACAAGAGGTAAAGCGTTTGGCTGCTAACCAGAGTTTCCATTTGAACCTGCCAGGGGCAAAATACGTGGCAATCGGAAGAATCTACAGCCGCGGAAGCCCCTAGGGCATCCCACCTGTCCCTCAGGGTGGATGTGAGTTAAAACAGATTCAAGAAGAGTGAGTGTGTATATATTCAGAGATAGAGAGATTCCGTTCATGGGACTGGCTGCCTCATTGTGGGGGAAGTCCCCGATCTGAAAGCCAAACAGGCGGGGGACATCTGTGGTTCATGGGTTACTGTTGTTGTTAGGTGCTGTTGAGATGACCATGACTCATAGTGGACAATGGCCGTGAACCCTGTCCTGTGCTGGGCCACCCTCACCACCTCTATGGACTTGAGCCCATGGGTATGGTCACTGTGTCACTCCATCTCATCGAGGGTCTTCCCCTCCTTTGCTCTCCCTCCCCCCTCCCGAGCAGGACGTCCTTTTCCAAGGACAGGTGCCTCAGAACAACATGTCCAGCGTGTGTGAGGTGAAAGGTCACCATCCGTGCTTGTAAGGAGCACCCCGGTTGATCCTCCAATTCACACTTCTTTGTTACTTTGGTAGCCCATGGGACGTTCAGTACCGCTCTCCAACACCGCAAAGCAAAGACATCCATTCTGCGGTCATCTTCATTCACAGTCCAGCTTTCAGACACATAGCAAGTGATTGAAAAGATCATGGCTCGGATGGGGTGCACCTTAATCATTAAACAGACATCGTTACTCTTCCAATCCATAGCTCAGGTGGCAGGTTGGAGGGTCCTATGGACTTGTGTTCCAAGGTATGTTAGGTCAGGAAAGGTGCAGAGTTGAGAGAGAGGGGGAGAGAGAGGGAGAAAGGGGGAGAGAGAGAGAGAGATTGAGATTTACCAAAATATCTCTTTATGGTCTGAAGGCAAAGCACATCGCTAAGGAAAATTGTGTTTCACCTCACTAAGCAAACACGGGAACTCACCTCATGTGAGCGGACTGTATAGCTTTATAAAGATGGCTCTCTGTGTCTCATTGACCATGCAAAGGCCCTTGACTGTGTGGATCACACCAACCTGTGGGCAACGTTGAGAAGACTGGGGATCCCAGAACACTTGACGCCTGCAAACCTAGACCGAGGCCGGGAAGCTGTCATACAGCACAGCAGGGGGACTCTGCATGGCTCAAAATCAAGAAAGGAGTGGGTCATGGATGTGGCCTTTCTCCATATCTTTTTTTTTTTTTGGTTAACAAATAATCCTTTATTGAAATATTTTCGTCTGTAGTTCCTTAGCTAGCTGGGCATTCCACAGCACCACTGTTGATGTCTTCTATGATGTCATGAGGGTGACGGCCATCAACATTGCAGCCCACAGATTGGGCAGTTCCCAGGATCTCTTTAATAGTTCCAGAGAGTTCTCCGGCTAAAGACCGGTGTCGCATCTGCCGGGCAATGCCAACAATCTCATCAAAAGTGATATTTCCACTGTGCTTAATATTTTTCTGCTTCTTTCTGTCTCTGGGTGGTTCCTTTAGGGCTTTGATGATCAGGGCAGAGGCCGAAGGCACCACTTCAATCTGGGCCTGTCTGTTCTGAATGGTCAGTTTCACTGTAATCCTTAGTCCCTTCCAGTCACCGGTGGCCTTGGCAATGTCATCACCAACCTTTTTTGGAGACAGACCCAGGGGGGCGATCTTGAGGGCCAGAACGGAAGTGGCACCGACTTCCCCACCGGTACACTCAGGTACACGACTTTAATCTCGTTGGGGTGGAACTTCGGCGGCATGGCGGAGGCGGCTGGTGTCGGACGAACCCAGATGCGGGACGACGGAAGAAAGTTGCACCGAGGCCTCCTCCGAGCCGAAAGCCGAAAGACAGGAAGCCATATCATTTTTTTTAAAAAAACAATTATTTTCTATTGGTTTGCTTACAAAGTTCATATACATTGTTTTTCACACTGGATCTTTCCCATTTCCTTTACTCCCCCTCCTTCCACCCATCAGATTGAATGACCCTATGATTACCCCCCCCCCCGCCCACCCTCACCCCTCTGCTCCCACCCTTCCCCCCTCGGATCCCCATACCCATTTTACTAGTTTTCTATTTCTACAATAATGGTCTTATGCAGTATTTGTCCTTATGAGACTGAGTCAGTTCATTCAACAAAATGCTCTCCACTCCCTCCCAAGTCAGGTAGTAATTTTCAAAACCATTGCTACTATGTGTTGTGTAGTATTCCATCATGTGAACTACCACAATTTTTCAATCTATTTGATTGTGGTTGGACATTTAGGCTGTTTCCATGTTTTTACGACGGTGAATAATACTGCTATGAACCTGGTGTACAAATCTCCGATCATGTCTCATTTTTTAATTTTTTCAGAGTATAGTCCTAGCTGGGTTATATGAAATTTCTATGTTTAGCTTTTTTAGGAAACGTCAAATTGCCTTCCAGAGTGGTTGCACCATTTTACAATCCCACCAACAGTGTATAAGAGTGCCTATCTTCCACATCGTCCTCTCCAACATTTATTACTTGCTGTCTTATTAAATTTTGCCACTTCTGGGGTGAGATGGTATCTCATTGTGGTTTTGATTTGCATCTCTCTTACGGCCAGTGATTTTGAACATTTCTTCATGTGTGTGTGTCATTCAAACTCTTTCTCTGTGAAAGATCTTTCCATGTCTTTTGCCCATTTTGTAATTGGGTGATCAGTCTTTTTCTTGTGGAGGCCCAGTAGGAGTCTGTAAACTTTTTTTATGAGACCCTTGTCTGAGATATTGCCAAATGTTGTTTTTCTTCCCTCCAGTCAGTAGGTATTCTTTTCACTCTGTTGGAAATGGTTTTCGTTTGGTGCACACAGGGATTTAGTCTTTAGAAGATCCCATTCAACAGCTTCGTCCCCTCCTGGTTGTTTATTTCTGACTGTATTTGTCAACCTTTTTATACCGCGTGCTAGGCCTTCCAAGCTTGGTCCTACTTTGTCTCTTATGATCTTTTCCATGTCTTTCCAATATATACGCAGAACAGATCATTCGGGAGGCTAGACTTTATGGACAAGAACATGGCAGCAGAACTGGAGGAAGACTCATCAACGACTTGCATTACACAGATGACACAACTTTGCTCATCAAAACTGAGGAGAACCTGAAGCGTTTGCTGCAGAAGGTCAAGGACTGCAGTCTTCAATATAGATTGCATCTCAGCACCAAGAAAACAAAGATTCTCATCACTGAGCCAATTGACAGCATCATGACAGATGGAGAAAAGGTTGTTAACAATTTCATCTTTCTCAGATTCCTAACACTCGTGGCACTAGCAGTCAGGAAATCAAAAGATAAATTGCTTTAGGAAAGTCTGCTGTCAGAGACCTCTCCACAGTGCTAAAGAGCAATGCTGTCAGTCTAGAGGCTAAGGTGCACCTGACCCAAGCGATGCTCTTCTCAATTGCTTGCTGTGCATCTGAGAGCTGGACAATGAGTAAGGATGACAGAAGAAGAATCAGTGCCTTTGAGTTGTGGTGCTGAAAGAGTGTTGACCATATCATGTTCAAGAGAAAAAATAGGTTTGTCCTGGAGAGGATGAGACCAGGTTGCTCCTTGGAGGCATGGAGTTTGAAGCGCGACCTCACATACTTTGGGCATGTTGCCAGGAGAAGGATGTCATACTTTGGAAGGGTAGAGGGTCAGTGTAGAAGAGGGAGACCCTGGATGAGATGGTTGGCGATAAAGTGACTGTGGCAATGGGTTCGGGTGTGTCTGAGATGGTGAGATTGTCTCAGAATAGAGCAGGATTCAGAGCTATTATTGTTTACACGGTCTCTATGAGCCACAGTCGACCGAGGGCACATTACAACACGCCGTGTTTGTGACAGTCCTGTGTTGAGCACATCCACTGGTGCCATTTTTCAACGGCATTTCCTCACTCCGTGTCTCTATCACACTGGTCATTCCTGCATCATTTCAAGCTTTTTCCTAAGGCTGCTGCATACTTGATAGATTATAGTAGAGTCACAGCCTAACTTTTATGTGCTTTGGAAAAGCAACAAAATTGAGTGACTCTTTTTAAATTTTTGATGTTGTTGCAGTTAGATGCCATCGGGTTGACTCCTAGAGACGCTCTGAACCCCAGACCTGAGCCTGCCGTGTTCTCCCCAGCCTCACGCTGACACGGCCGAGCCCCATGTTAATCGCTGGAGCCGTCCACGCCAGGGAGGGTCTTCCCTTCCTTGACCATCTGTCTGTCCCAGAATGGTATCTTCTTCCAAGGACTGTTCCCTCCTGACAACATGTCTAAAGTACGTGGGACGAAGGCACTGTCATCATCTTGGCCTCTGAGGGACACCCTGGCCATGTCTCCTCCGACAGAGATGGGTTTTCTCTATTGGCGGTCTGTGAGGATTCAGTTGTTGTTCTGAGTCGACTGTGACTCATAGCGACCCTGTGTACAGTATCTCTGACTCCTGCCCTGTCCTCAGCTAGTTTCACAGTCTCTGACACACCCACCCCCTTACCCCAGTCACTGTGTCAATTCTCCTCATCCAAGGTCTTCCTTTCCTGTGCTGTCCCTCCACCCTTCCAAGCATGATGTCCTTCTCCAAAGACTGGTCTCTCCTGGCTACAAGCCCAAACAAAGTATGTGAGATGGAATCTCAAAATTCTTGCCTCCAAGGAGCAGCTTGGTTTCATCCTCTCTAGGACAGACCTGTTTGTTCTCTTGGCGGTCCATGGTATGTTCAGTACTCTTCTCCAGCACCACAACTCAAAGGCATCAATTCTTCTGTCATCTTTGGTCCTTGTCCAGTTATCTGATACACTCTTGTTTAATCTGTTGTTGTTAGATACCGTGGAGTTGAGTATGGCCCACAGAGGCCTTATGAGCAACAGATCTGAACCCTGCTCTATCCTGTGCCGACCTCATACCTCCTGACACACTCAAGCCAACTGCAGCATTCACCATGTCAATCTATCTCATTGAGGGTCTTCTCTTCCTTTGCTGTCCCTCCAGCTTTCCAAACATGATATCCTTCTCCAAGGAATAGCCTCTCCTAGCAACATGCCTGAGTGTGTGAGACGAAGCTTCATCACCTTTGCCTCCAGGAGCGCGCTGGCTGCACCTTCTCCACAACGTATTTGTTCTTTCGGCAGTCCATGGAATGCTCAGTACTCTTCTCTGACACCACAGCTCAAAGGCTTCAATTCTTTCATCCTTATTCATTGTCCAACCTTCAGATTCATTTCTATTAGCTTTTAAAGTCATTATTCAGAATGAATATCTTCAAAACAAATCAATTTTCCATTCAGCTATTCACACACATTTCCTTTTAGAACATTAATTACATGCCTACCATGTACTTGAACTTTTCTTACTTTTCCATTGCTCCTCCTATCCTGCCCCTTCCTGCCTTCAGGGTATTCCCCTGGGCAAGAGCTGTTCTTGGTACCTTGTAAGGCTGGCTGTTCTAAGAAGTGAGTGTCTTCCTGGGGTTAATGTTCTCTCTGTAATCTTCTCTATCGTTTGCTGATGGTCGAGCCACAGAGTTCTAGTTCAAGGTTTGCAGGGTGACTCAGGGCCACTGTTGACGCAACAGCAGTCAGGAAATCAAAAGACAGTATTGCATTGGGGGAAAATCTGCTACCAGGGACTTCTCCTAAGCACTGAAGAGTGATGACGTCAGTTTGATCCCAATGTTAATCTTTTGAGTCACTTGCTATGCAGCTGAAAGTTGGACAGTGAGTAAGTAAGGATGATAGAAGAAGAATTGATGCCTTTGCATGGTGGTGTTGGAAAAGAGTACTGAATATCCCATGGATGGCCAAAAGAACAAACAAATATGTCCTGGAGAAAGTGCAGCCAGAGTCCTCTTTGGAGGCAAAGATGACAAAGCTTCATCTCACATACTTTGGGTATGTTGTTAGGAGAGATCGTTGTTGACATTGGCAGTAATGTCCCAAATTCCACAACCTCTTCTAAACCCAGCTTGTATTTCTGGTAGTTCTCTGTCAGTGTACTGTTCCAGTCATTTCTGGATGATCTTCAGCAGGATTTTGCTAGTGTGTAATATCAGTGACATTGTTAGATAATGTCCACACTCTGTTGGGTCACCTTTTTTTTGTGATTTGGAAAATCTCATACATATGGATCTCTTCCAGTCAGTTGACCAGGCACTTGTCCTCCGGCTTTCTCGTCACAACCTGGTGAGCACATGCAGGGCAACATCTGTTTGTTGAAATACGTCAATTGGTATTCCATCAATTCCTGGGGCTTTATTTTTTGCCAAGTCCTTCAGAGCAGCCTGCACTTCCTCCTTCATCATCATCAAATTATCTCCAGTGCCAGCCTCCACTTTTTGAAGCTAGGATGGGTTGTTGTTGCTGCTATTATCTATGTCAGGCTGGAATCCACCTGTAGCTGGCCCTCCAGCAGGTTTTCAGAGGCAGTAAATCGCACGGAAGGAGATTGCTCATTCTTCTCCCACTCAGCACCTGGTGAATTTGAACAATGTATTGCTGGATAATGAAAGACGATGACAGAAGAATAATCGGTGCCTTAGAGTTGTGGTGCTGGAGAATAATATTGAACATACCACAGACCGCCAAGAGAACAAACACACCTGTTCTGGAGAGGGTGAAAGCACATTGTTCCTCGGAGGCAAGGGTTTTGAAGCTCTGTCTCACATACTTTGGGCATGTTACCAGGAGGGACCGGTCCTTTGAGAAGGATGTCATGCTCAGAAGTGTGGAGGGACAGTGCAGGAGAGGAAGATCCCAGATGAGATGGATTGACACAGTAACTGGGGCAGTGGGGGTAGGTGTGTCGGAGGCAGTGAGACTGGCTGAGGACAGGGCAGGCTTCAGAGCTGCTGTACACAGGGTCGTTATGGGTCACAGGTGACTCGATGGCACATAGCAACAACCTTTAGGTTGGCAGCACAGTTTCTTACTACTAAGCCATCTCTAGAAACTATAGGAAGAAACAGGCAGCCCACGGAACAAAATGGACCTTGAACAGCCTGCTCAGGGGAGGAGAGGACATCCTGAGGGCTGGACAAGTGGGGGAAGGCCAAGTCCAGACCTGGGTGGGCAGTGTGTCAGGGGCAGAGGTGGACATCGTTTTGAGGAGGTGTCATGTCGGTGGAAAGCTGCTGGCTCATTGCTTGGGAAGACGTCCCCCAAATCCCGTGGGAGGCTCTGCCTGACGTGTTCTGTGCTTGCTGTTTTAAGTCGTTTGCCAGTTCAGAAAGCACAGCTGAGCCTGGCACCAGAGGCCTGTCACCAAAGGCCTGGCACCAGAGGCCAGGAGCGAGTTTTCTTTGTTTCTGCCTGTATCCCACTTTCTCACAAATGAAGAGAGGGTATGCCGGTTAAGAACTGCTTCCTTGGGCGCCCCTGCGGTCTGGGCCATGGCCGCGGCCTTGGGCAGCAGTGGAAATCTCTCCCCTGTCACCTGGGAGCACTGGTGGGTCCTCGGGCTTCTGGACAACATGCCCCTGCTGGCTCTAGCCCCGGCCTCCCCAGTGACCTGGCTGTCACTGGGCACCTCACCCTGACTAGTTTAAGGGAGTTCTGGTAAGCAGAGTTGGAGTGGAAGGTGGCCTAGTGGGTAAGGAGTTGTATTGTCAACCCCAAGAGGGGTGGTTTGAATTCACCTGCTGCTCCTTGAGAGAAAAATGACCAATCTCCTCTTCTGGGTCTTACAGCCTCTGAAAACCTGCGGGAAGGGCAGCGATGGGGTGGTCCGACTTAACGTAGATGATCAGCAATGTCTAACAGGAGATGAGAAAGGGGTGAGTCCAAGGGCCCCCTGACCCTGCAAGTGCGAGGAAGGGAGATGAGATTCAAAGGGACAGTTCCGCTGGCCCAGTGTCACCGTGGGGACCCCTTTCCCCCAGGTGCCTTCACTGTTCAGAGGAATTCTGGAGGACAGGGACAGCTTCCCTTTTCCCTAGTCTCCCTGCCACCGTGTCTTGGCCCTGGCCGCTCCTGCTGTCCTCTCAGCGGCCAGCACCTGCTGGGGTTCAGGCCCCCCAGGCTCCCCCACAGCAGTGACTGCCCCAGCAGGCGGCTGGCTCCACGTGGGCGGGGTCCCTCCCTGTGTGACCGGTGAGTGCAGGCTTCCGACTCTTCTAAAGCAGGGTGCAGCTTCTGCGCCCAAACTCTCAGAGCCTACCCTCCACCTACAGCCCCCCTTGATCCTGCACATAATAAGCTCCGCCCTCCAACCCGAGAAAAGCTAGTGGTGCAGTGAGTTAAGTGCTTGGCTGCTAGCAGAAAGGTTGGGGTTAGGGTTCATCAGCCGCTCTGCCGTAGCCGGAGGAGGCGAGGCGGTCACCTTTGTAAAGACTAGAACCCCAGGGGTCACTTCTGCTTTGTCTGCGTCCCTATTGGTCACTTTTGACTTCTGGACATCGGGCTTGGGCTCTCGGGTTTCCTCTTCTGGACCTCCCTCCCCACTCCGGCACAGGCTCCTCTCCTCTCTGGCCAGCCCACTGCTTCCTCCCCTCTTCTTCCTCCTCCCCTCTGCGAGTACACGCCCCCTCCCACGAGGACCCTGTCCCACGTTGTCCAGTGCTTCCCCTCTGGGGCCTTTGGGGGGTCCCCACACACGCACGCTGGGGACATCGTCTGAACCAGCTGCAGACATGGGAACATACATTACGGGGGTCCCTCTGCAGCGTCAGGGGCAGGGAGCATCCGGGTTCATCGAGAACAGGGTTACTGTGGGAGGTGGGTCTGTCTTACTGGGGCTTCATGACGCCTCAGCGCAGGCACTGGATTAGCAGAAACGCGCGGGCAGGTTGGGAGAGGTGAGTTCAGGGCGCCCTGGTTGTCTGTAGGTGAGAGGATGGCGCTGTGGACCCCTTTAAGGAACCAGCAGAGCCTGGCTCCCAAGGGCTAAGCTTGCCAGAGAGGGAAAAGGGATAGGAAAAACCCTATGAGGGGAGGGACTGCGGGGTGCGCTTATGGGGGCGGGGCTTTGGGTGCACTTATGGGGCGGGGCTTCAGGGGTGCGCTTGTGGGGGTTGGACTCCGGGATGCACCTATGGGGTTGGACTTTGGGGTGCGCTCCCAGGTGCTGCACGCGTGTCAGGGGCAAAGCCTGGGCCGCGCCACTACCAGCGCTGTCTGCACACCCCTCGGGGCGCATGGTGAGGGTTCCTGGGGGTTGGGGGTCCCAGGACTCCTCCCCTCCTCAGATCACAGCTGCGGGCAATCCTAGGCAAGATCCCTCCTGTCGTCCAGTGACCTCAGATGGGACCCAAGGGCCGTTCCCCTCAGGGTTTCTCCTCTTTCTTCGTTCCCCGCCCCCCGCCCCCGTCCCTCCACTCCTCCTCTGCCTTCCCCCCTTCCGCCCTCCTCTGACCCCCACCCCCTCCTCCTCTTAATTACCTCCCCATCCCCGCCCACACTGGGCCCCGGGGCGGTGCCTGGGTGGGGTGGACTGGAGCAAGCCATCCCTCCTTGTCTGTCGGTCTCCCTCCCTCGCTCTCTGTCTGTCTCCCTTCCCCCCTCCCTGTCTTTCCCCCTCCCTCCCTTGGCGGCTGGGGTCAGTCTGCGCCGCGGACTCGGCCGAGGCAGGTGCTCCGCTAGACTCTGGGTCCTGCAATGGGGCTTTATGGAACCCCGGTGGCGCAGTGGTTAAGCTCTGGGCTGCTGACTGAAGGGCCTGTTTGAACCCATGAGAGGGGAGTGAGATGTGAGCGTCTGCTCTGTAAAGGTCACAGCTTTGGAAGGCCCACGGGGCACGTCTGCCTGGCCCTGTAGGCTCTAAGTCCAAATCGAGGGCGAAGGGGGTGGTGGTCGGGAGGTGGGTGCGGCTGGGGTCCCTTCTGGGGGGCAGCGCAGGCGGGGGAACCACGCAGACCGCGAGCAGTCCACCTGAGGCCAAGCCCTGGGCTGGGCCAGCCTGGCCGGTCCCAGCACGCGGAGCCCTGGGCCCCACGCCTGAGCAGGCCCCGCCCCGCGGCCCGCCCGCCCCGCCCCTGCCCCAATGAACACGCCTCAATTGGACCCTGCCCCGCTCAGACCCCTCCTCCGATCCGCAATCCCCGCCCACACAGCACACAAGACCCGCCCCGCTTCCCCACAGGCCCTGCCCCGCGGTGGCGCGCCTGCGCAGTGGCAGTGAGCGCAGTCGGAAGCCCCTGGCGGGGAGGCGGCGAAGCGACGGCGGCGGCGCCTGGACACCTTCTGCGGGGACCCCGGCCTCTCGCCCGGCCGCCCCTCGGGGCTCGGGGCCGCGAGGCCGGGGGATGGCGGCGGCAGCCGAGTCTGGGGCCCGCACTTGGCCCGGAGGGGGCTCCCCGCGCCCCGGCAGCCCGGCCTCCAGCCCCGGGCTGGGCGGCGGAGGCCGCGCGCGGGGACCCGGGGCCGAGCGCGGGGGCTCCAGGACCCAGCCCCCCGCCGCCGCGCTGGGCCACAGCTTCCGCAAGGTGACGCTCACCAAGCCCACCTTCTGCCACCTCTGCTCCGACTTCATCTGGGGGCTGGCCGGCTTCCTGTGCGACGGTGAGGCCCGCGTCCCCCACCCCCAGCCGCGTGCGCCCCGGGGCACCCCGACTCTGCTGGAGGGAACCTCGCCCCGCTCGTGCCCAGCTTCCAGAGCCCAGGCTACTCCAGGACCCCCACAGCAACCACGCCAGAGCGCCCAGAGGCCAGACACCCAAGAGACCCATTTTGGGGGACACTGGGTCCAGCCCCGAGGGCCCTGTCCTGGGCGCCACCTTCTCCTCCCCTTTAGATTATACGTCTCACCTTTGCCCCTGCCCCTCCCGGCAGCGGCCTCCCAGGACAGCTGGGGACAAAGCGGGCTTGGTCACAGGCGTCCTGATAACGTGTTGGTGACCTCGGCTCCTGCAGCATGGGCCAGTGTGGCCCGGGGGTCCTGCGGAGGTGTTTCCATAGTGGACTGGAGTGGACTGAGGGTCCCGCGGAGGTGTTGGTGACCTAGGTTCCTCCATTGTTGGCTGGGTAGTGGACTGGGGGTCCCGCGAAGGTGTGAATTTTCAGTGTGAGCTGGAGTGGTCTGAGGGTCCCTTGGCAGAGCCCCTCCTGTCAAAGAGCGAGGGCCTGCGCGTGGATACTTGGCCTCTGGCTCTTGGCCGGCGGGTCTCCGGCAGTGGGCATTGCTGCCTCCTCCAAGAAGTGGGGCAAAGCCGTCCAAGGGGTTAGGGTCCTGGGGAGGGGGGAAGCCCTCGGGGCTGGATGGGGCAGCAGGCAGCTTTGCAGTGACAGAGGAGGGGTGAAGCCAGCAGGGTCGGGGCTGGTGCACTGGGCCACCTGCTCCCGTGCCTGGGGCCCCTGATGGCATGGTACCGTCCAGAGGGGCGAGTGTGGGCACTGCCCAGGCTCAGCCTCCTGGAGAACCCGCCGGCCAGGCCAGAGCCTGTCGTCTCCGCGTGTGACGTGCCCTGACACGGGTTTTGCACGCTGCCAAGCTGGCTGGCCTGGGCAGAGACAGCCCTTCCCTCCCCGGCTCCTTCATGGGCCCATGGGCCTGCATGCTTCCGTAGGGCCTGGCCTCTTCCAGCCCTGCTCTCCCAGCACCGAGCGCAGGGGACCTTGGTCCATGTGGGTGTGGACGTGGGTGGGTAGGTGCTGAGGGAGCTCCTGGGATCTGAGTGTTTGCCCTGCAGGGAGGGGACCGTAGCATGAAGTGCAGTGCACATTTGGTATTTCCTGTGTCCTGGCCCAGGACAGGAAATGGGGTGAGATGGGGAGCCTTTTTCTCTCTCAGGAAGGCAGGTCTTTGCCCTTGAGGTGGACATGTGGCTCAGGAAAGGGCCTGTAGAGGGGAGTGAGGAGACTTGCCAGAAGGACAGACAGACATGCCTTGGGAACGGTGCAGCCAGAGTGCAAGGGGGAGGCACGGAAGGCGATTCATCTCACATGCTTTGGGCATATTGCTAGGAGGGGCTAGTCCTTGGAAAGGGACATCATGCTTGGAAAGATGGCGGGTAGACCCAGGACTCTCCAAGTGTTACAGGCGTGAAGCTAGAACCAGGACTGTACAGTGTTAAAGAAGCGACAGCTCTAGATTTGACCCAAGATTCTCCAAGTGTTACACAAGGGACAGCCCCAGGCAGGCAGGAGGCTAAAACCAGGATTGTACAGTAGTGACAGCTCCAAGATCTGACCCAAGACCCAGAGCTTTCCAGGTGTTACAGAATGGCCTAGTCCCCCGCAGAGGTGAGAGGAGGTGAAGCAGGGCTCCAGGTCCAGTCCAGACCCAGGTCTCTGTACAAAAGTGAGAGGTGCATGGGATGGGGTCCTGGTCTGAGGCTGGATGCAGGACTCTGCCAGAGTGAGATTTACACAAGGCAGTGCCCCAGGTCCAAGGCTAGACCCCGGGTACCCCTGGAGAGGGTAAAGGCACGTAAGACAGACCACTAGTCTGGTTTAGACCCTGAGTGTCCCTTAGGCGTGACCTGCAGGTGCGAGCGCCAGGCCTTAGGGAACTCAAGACTCCCCCAGAGCAGCTTCTGTCGCTGGGGGGAAGGGGGAGCCATCGAGAGGCTGTTTATAGGGCAGCCTCCGAGGTGTTCCCCACATCCGGAGGGAACGAGGTGCGATTCTCAGCAAGCGGAGGTCTCCTGCCAGGGTGTGGGAAGAGGTGTCCTGCCACCCCCGCCAGGCACCCAGGATGTGGGGTGTGGGGAGGGAGAGCAGGCACTATCTCCACCTCTCAGGAGAGGAAACCGATAGTGCCTGTAGCTGCTGCCACTGTGGCCTAGGGTGTGGGGTGTGGGGGGAGGAGACCGGGAAGGATGCCCCCTGAGTTCTCCCCACCTCAGGAAGCTTTCTCCAGAGCTGACAGGGACTTCAGTGGGGCCCAGGGAGGTGGGGCACAGCTCGGCAGTGGCTGTCCCTGGGGATGATCTTCTCCTGGAAGGCTCACTGGTCCCTCCTGGACCTGCCCACTTCCTGGCGCCCCCTACAGCCTTGTCCACTCAGGGTCCCCTCGTTGGCCCCGCTCCCAGCTTCCTCTTGCTGCTGATGTGCCCCATTCCACTTCCTCCCCACCTCCTCTTTCCGGAATCCCCTCTTTAGCCCTCTGACTGTCCCCCTCACGTCCATTTCCTGGCTCTTTCCCTGATGAGCCCCAGAAGGTTGTCTTCTGCCAGCACTGGTTGGCTCCCTCGTTCTCTTGCCTTGACCCCAACCAGGACAGGATGAAGGGGCTCTCTCAGGCCTCAGGGGGCACCGTGCATGTGGGGGGTGAAGTGCTCACCCTTTGGGGACCTGGCTGGGCAACCCCGCATGTAGGAGGGGTGGCGAGTAGGGTGTGTTTGCAGCGCTGAAGGTTTGGAGAGAGCTGAGCTGCGGTGGTGGGTGAGCTCCCAGTGCCCGTCACCGAGGGCGGAGAGCTGGCTCGTGGTAGAGCCCCTTATCTGTGTGTGTATGCTGGGGTGTTAGGCACGTTTCCCCCATTACTGAAGTGACATGGGGCACTGCACCAAGTCACCCACCAAGCACCCCATCACCCTCTGGCCGTGGACTCACCCCCTGTGGAGTGTCCACCTAACTGGATCACAGCCATTCTGGCCGTGGCCCTCCACCTCCCTCTGCAGGCTGGGGCCCCACTCTCGGTTCCTCGCGGTGGTGGAAGTTCTTGGGGTGCCTCACACATCTCTCCTCTGCACAGTGTGCAACTTCATGTCCCATGAGAAGTGCTTGAAGCACATGAAGACCCCGTGTGCGTGCGTGGCACCCAGCCTGGTCCGGGTGAGTGCGGGTCGCTCCTGGCACTGAGCCGTCCCCGGAGATGGCGGTCCACAGAGGCGTCTGGCTGCCCTTAACAGGCGGGGGTGGACATTTGCTTGCAGCCTGGGTGCCTGTCCTGCACGCCCAGCCAGCAGAGTTTAGCACTGGTGGCTCCCCTAGGGCGGCCCTCGGCGTGGGGAGTTAGGGGTGCTGGTAGGGCGCTCTGGGGGTGCTGTCCACTGAGGCCGCGCTCTGTCCCCAGGCCCCGGTGGCGCACTGCTTCGGCCCGCGGGGCCTGTACAAGCGCAGGTTCTGCGCCGTCTGCCGCAAGAGCCTGGAGGTGCCCGCGCTCCGCTGTGAAGGTACTGCCGCGTCACCGCAGGGCACCCCGGCCCGGGCTCTGCTGCCCACAGCGGCCCAGCCCTCCCCTTGGGTCCCCACAGGGAGATGGAAGGGCTGGCCACGCACGCAAACCCCGTCAGTAACTAGTGTGGGGTGATGTTGAGGTCATGCTAGGGCAGTGGGTGACCCGGATGTCCTGTGGGAGCAAGGTCCAGAGAGGGTCAAAGGTCTGGGGGGGGGGTCTAGGAGAGGTCAGAGACGGAGTGCCGTAGGGGTTAGGAGGGACCGAGTTAGTAGGGTGGTGAGGGACAACTGGCCCCGGGCAGGCTGGCGTGGAGGAGGCCGCGGCCTGACAAGGTGCAGGGGCGCTGCGAGAGCCCCTAACCCTGCCCGCCCCCCAGTGTGTGAGCTGCACGTTCACCCCGACTGTGTGCCCTTCGCCTGCAGCGACTGCCGCCACTGCCACCAGGACGGGCACCAGGATCATGTGAGTGCCCGGGCGTGGGGTGCAGGGGGTGCCGAGGGAGGCTCGGCTGATGCCACTCCCCCGCAGGACACGTACCACCACCACTGGCGGGAGGGGAACCTGGCCTCCGGGGCGCGCTGTGATGTCTGCCGGAAGACCTGCGGCTCCTCCGAGGTGCTGGCGGGCCTGCGCTGCGAGTGGTGTGGGCTCCAGGTGAGAGGGGGCCTGCAGGGGTGTGGGCTCCAGGTGAGGGGGTGGTCCAGCAGGGGTGCGGGCCCCAGGTGAGGGGT